CTGAAAATAAAAACGTTCAAAAAACCGCCCATAACGGCCGTTGCCCCTAAAAATTCTAAAATCGCTTTCCAAATTTTTCTCGTGGTTTAATAAATACATCCCTGGGGTCAATCAATTTGGTATCGTCTACTCCGATTAAAGGCCAGATAGTGTTGGACACGGGTTTTTGGGCCCTCCTCAGGCCGGGAGGTCTTTGAGGGAATCAATTATCTTAATTGGGAGTTGGCCTAATCTTAATAAGCAAGCCTGCTGGACTCAACGTATCTTTAACAAGACGATGAGTGTTACATTAATTTGTTTATCTTTTGGACTAGTGAGGTTTAGTTTCAAGGCTGCGGTTAGATGGACTGAAAAAAAAATTGGTAGAGCCTGTTGATTGTATTGGATATTGCTACGACTATACTATGAATTTTCTTCATCATCATCATCAACAGCCCTTTACAGTCCACTGCTGGACTATGAGCCTCCTCCACTATAGTAGAGGGTTTTGCCATAATCCCCACGCTTTTCTTCATACATTATTTGAATTCAATATGAGTACTTTTTTTAAACAGCGTTCATTAATTTTTAAAATGATTATAGAAATTAATTTAAATATCTCGCATTATTATTTTTTCATTTGAATATGTTTTGAATATGTGTCAAATACGACTTAAAATAGANAGTCTGCAAGCGACTATTACGAGTAATGTTCGTGGTAGACTGCTGTAGAGTCGAAAATCGTGTGGCGGGTAGATGCGAGTTAGATCATTCTGGAAGCTTTGGCGGTTAATTTAAAAGTGCGTTCTTGAACCCTTTCAGAGGCATTGTATCTTTGTGCGCTTTGTACTGGAGATGGTTTATCTGAGTCGCGGGGTACATAAGTGCTGTTTTTTCATTCCGTAATGCTTTTACATTTCAAAGGGGTTAAATGTTATTCAGACTACCCGTTTAGAAATGTGTGGGTGTCGCGTGGAAAGGAAAATACTAGGATTTGAATATAAATATTAATTAAAGTGAGGATTCATGGTCGTCTCTTTTATCCTGTTTGCTTCTCGTGTACCTACTAAGCCCAATGTTGAAACTTGTAATGTAGTAGTAATTATCATTTTTAATGAAAGATTTTAGTTTAAAGAAAGTTTTTAGTCAAGAGATAAACAGTTTACTCGTAGATTTGAATAAAAAGCTTATTGAAATCTATACTAATATTATAAATGCGAAAGTAATTGTCTGTCTGTCTCGCTTTCACGCCTAAACTACTGAACCGATTTAGATGAAATTTGGCATAGAGATAGTTTGAGTCCCGGGAAAGGACATAGGATAGTTTTTATACCGGTTTTTGAAACAAGGACGCGCGCGATAAAGTTTTTCTGTGACAGACAAAATTCAACGTGGGCGAAGCAGCAGGCGAAAAGCTTGTCTGTTATAAATATAATAAAAATTAATTTTGTGAATTTTCTATATTATATGACTTTTGATGCCAGTAGAAGATTATTATGGATAAATATGTTTAGATCAGTGCAATAGTTGAAATCGTCTCTACGTTTAGTTGAAAGCTGTCTATACGGAAAATGTAGAGCTATACCTACTTTATTAAATTTTGCAAATATTCGACCAGACTTCCAAGAATTGTCTCAAAGTAAATCTCTTGTAACAGTCACCCAGTTACCGCAGCGTTATATCATTACCCATTAACGCGCAGCACTAGCGAGATAGTGTTGTGCCGGGATTTATAGCACGCGGGTATATAGCATAAATCACCACCCCCACCGCTAAGAGGATCTTAGGCTTTCTAGGAGCTAGGCATTGTTTTAGCAAAAAATATTATGATATCCAAAATCAAAAATCAAAATCAAAAGTATTTATTCAGTTTAGACCACAAGTGGCACTTATGAACGTCAAAATATTATTATAGAAAATAATAAAAAAAGAAAAGGTAGCCCTTATGGGGCACTTTACATGTCTCCTTATCTTTTGGGCCTATATCCCTACATAATACATAACTACTATTTGTTACCTAGGAAACAGATTAATTTATCTTACATGTTCACTAGTAAATGTATTTTACTCGTATTTATTCAATAGCTATTACCAATCTTATTTATTTTTGCTGAATGTAGTTTTAAAGGATTTATTTACATATTCAGTATTTTTCAATATTATGATGAGTAAAATGAAATCTATAAATAGGTAGATTTTTCTAAATATTACTTTACTGATTATCTTGCTTCTAACTGGCTGTAGCTAAATTAGCTAATTACTGCAAGCATAATAATATGTGGACTTGAACATTCATACAAACAAAGTTTATACAATTCCAATCTTTTATTCTAAAGTAATGTGTAGTAATTACTACTGGCAATCTAAAAACTGAGTTTTGTGGTCTTCTTCCTATTCTCGATAGAAAGCGGCGATAATAATGCGAGTTAATAGAATATCTAATTATTATAAGTGAGAGATAATACTTAAAGATGCCATTATGCTTTTTAAATAAATGAAGGATCAGTGATTGTTTAAATAAATTAATATGTGGCTGAATATGCATGGTGCGTTTCTTTAATTAATAATTATTCATTAGGGGATAAAAATCTTTTTCTCTGGGTTTGTAGGTGCTGTCTGGAGCTTCCAGACAGTGGTGACTGAGTTTGTTGCGGCGCTTCTTCTCAGCACATGTCAATAGTTTGTCTCGAAGCGCTGGTAGGGCAAAAAAAGAATGAGACATTGTATAGGCTCCTTAAAAGCATTTGACGATTTGTAAGTACTAATTTCATTAGTCTACATAAATAAAGATAATTTTGAGGTGAATCCAGATAAATTGGTTTTTCTCATTTCTCTATCTTTGTTTAATTGTTGCCACCATCTTACTTTAACTTTGACAAACGTCAAAATTATATTAAACTCCATACAAAAAACACAGGTTATCGTCAAAGTTAGGGTCAAAGTTGTGGTGCAACTCAGCCATAATTTTCATGAAATGACATGATTATTTTATAGAGCTTTATTATGAGGTGTCTGAAGTTATTTAATTGTTTTTACAAATATATAATTTATCATTTTAATTTAGTTATTAGATGTAGAGTTGTGAAATTCAATGTTATTTCCTCCAGGAAACCATAAAATTCGTTTTTTATTGGAACAGAGCATTAATTCTCACAGTTATTACATTATCTTATTAATACCAATTTAGTAAACCCAATTGATACTCTCCTAATCATTATTTCAACCATAGAATGTCCACTGCTGGACATAGGCCTCTCCCAATGATCTTCGATTGACAACTGGAAGCTAAATTATTACTCTTCGTAAAAAAGGTTTGTTTTATATTTTTTATGGCGTTTCAGAACCAAAGACTCTAATAGACATCTTTTGATCTCTACATATTATTTGAAATAAAAATTCAACGTAGAATATTTGTCAAATTATAACTTTAAACAAAAATAGGTGAGCGTTGTCGTAACGTTCCGGAAAACGCAAGAGTAATTTTTCAGCCATGCGTTATGTCGGCATATTTCAGTAGAAAAAAGTGTCGCAGCATTTGTTATCATTGCACTATTTGTTTTCCTAGATTATGTAAAACGGCCTTTGGCTGGTGAGCAAAAAAAAGGGAATGGATAATCCTATTATTGTACTGAGTTTTGTATTTCTGTGATTACAAATCCAACCGAGAATTTGAATTATTTGTGCTTGCATTGTATTCATTGATACAGAAAAAAACGAGTAAGGCAGTAGTAGTAGCGTTTACCTATACACATAGTGTATTTTCAAATCAGTAAAAATATTTATAGACGTAACTATTAGCTGCATAAAAATGTAATTTATTTCAAAGTTCAAAAAATATCCCTAACTAGTGAAGATATAATTTTATATAATTTAATAAAAAAAAACACTTTTCATTGTATAAAGCTGTGTAATAAGTGTGAATATAGGTGCGAACCCGGAAAAAAAGGAGATATTAATGTACCTACTTAGAGCTTTAGTAGTAAGTAAGTTTAAATTCCTATCTCTAATTTTATAAAAAAAACACATAAAGATGCTTTAGTACCAAATAAATATTTTTCTTTCTTTCTTTAAGACAGCAATTTAAGCAATTTTAAAAAGAGGCCTTTTTAAAGTTGCCTAAATTCTTGCCATATTGTAACCAAGGTGATTGTTGATGAGTTACCTTAGTGATATGCTCTACTGAATATTATAGATCTAAGAATACCTATTCCAGATGATAGGTAGAGTGACATTTTATTATTTTATGCTGTTATTACAAATGCTTTAAAGTATTACATATCTCTACATTATTGACTGAGTGGAAAAGTATCTATTAATGTTTTCTAAAATGTTCCGTATCATGATTGTAACTGAGGTGAGTAAATCCTAAAATATAAAATAACTAAACTTTGATATTTGTATTTAATCGTGACAAGCATTTCATTACAATAAATATCACCTAGTTTCAGAACTTATTTACACATCAATAAAATTGACTTTACAAATACAGCTAATCTTTATAAGTAAATTATATTAATTTGATGTTGCTATATTCAATCCTGTCTTATGTCTAAAGCCAATACGGCGAATTAAAATTACTTTGCAAATTGCACTACTTCCACAATTGTTGATTCAGTTTTGCACACCAGAAAATAAATTCCAAGCGCTACATTTTGGCGCCCAACACTGATGACGATATAAAATACCTAGTTTGTTCAAGCAGCATAGGACGCTGCCAATACTTACGGTTTCATTCAAAATAAACATGTAAAATTCCAAAGTTATTGATGCTAATTAATTAAAATTTCCCTCGCAGGCATCCATCACACGCGGCGCGCGCGCGTCGACTGCACGCACACCACCGCACCGCCCAAAACGAAAAAAGAACTAAACCCCTCCTCCACTTTTAGGCCCCGCCCCCCAACCGCCTGCTAGCGTATGCGCCAATCACAGCCGCGTATACTCCGAGCGGCGGCCGGCAAAGCCGAACATAGCCGATCGTGGCCGATCGCGGTTCACAACAAAAAGTCACACGACTGGTTTAGTGTCGGGTTGCGTCCCATCGACGCCGCATCACGTGCGAGCGACCTGCGCTTGCGCTCAAACAATGAACTGTTTTTGTAACAACCAAATCTAACTAACCGCAACTATTTAATTTCATTACACATGATTGTGACCTGTGATAAGGATACTCAGCGAAAATGAGAACGGCATGGAGCTGATGTTTACAGTGTGTTTTTCTATCTCAGTATTAACAGTGATACATAGTGATAGTGAATATTGTGATACACATCTGATAAGGACATTTAAGGTATTTACATCTTTGCTTATTTAGACATTTTTATATAAGATACTAGATAACCTACATTCATAACATAGTGGTGCCTATCTTTACTCTATCAAATCTATAGGTAAACAATATCAACTATGATAGAAGTATAGTGAAAAATTAAATAATTCCATTCGTATATGCTTTTAACCATTCAGATAAACAATAAACAAACTTAGTATGTGAAACATCACCAAAGCTCTACATATCAACATTGCCATTTGTGGCGGCAAATATTTATCAAAAAATCGTACGCAAATATTAATTTAACTATCAAGGTAACACAACAGAAATATTGTCAATCATGTAATATAATGATTTATGCGTAATATTGTCACATATTTTCCACTCAAAGTTAGTTCTATGAAGAAATATTAAGATTAGAACGCCAAGACTCTACCGCGCCCGTGCGTCGGAAAACTGCGCGGGCAAATACGGAAAATAGCTTGTTCCAGAAAATTAAATAGGATCACTTTAATAATTAAGTAAATTATTGTGATTTCAACACCCGAATATGGATATGCTCCTAATTTATTTAAGTATAATATTTTTAAACTGATTAAGTATAATCTGATTAGAAATTATTAAGCTCCTTTAATTGAAAATTATTGTATGTGTTGTATTGTATGTGTAAACAAAGTTCTTATTGATATAGAAAAACCACATTGATATATTTCATGACTCAGATGTTTATTATATTATGGAAAAAATGCGTTACGACCACCTAACTCATTCTCTCATGTAAAAGACATAAACGAAATTTCAAGGTGAAAATTTCTCAGCTCTACATATTATTCATAATTAATTATATCATGACGTTTGAATTAATTATAAAATGTCTGTCAAATATGTTTAATTGTTGTAAAATAAATATTCATACTGGCTGTTATGGTTATTGCTTTATATCACAAGTGTCAAAACCAACTTAGTGCTCGGCTGCAAAAAATAATATTGTTTGCACTTTCCTTATTTGACTAAAAACTATGTTTTGTTATTGTGCCAATATTTAATATGAATTTGCTGCGGTCTTTTATTAGGCAATGCAAAAATAAGGTTCTGATACTTTAATTGTAGGCAGGATATAGGTATCATAGGTAGGTACTCTCTCTATCTTTTGGCAAATGTCAGTTACCTTTTATAATAAGATAAATGTACATATTAAACCGCTATCACACATAAAGGTGTGTTTGTTTTATGTTAATCCAACAGTATTTTTACATTAGTACAACGACCACTTTAATGAATGTAAACTATCTAATCTAATTATTGTCATAAAAGAAACAAGTTCCATACCGTTTTGGAGATCAATATCGATTTTCCTTAATACCTTAACACCTTACTATGGTGATTTTCTCATAATTAAATATGTATATTTATTCAACAATGCAACGTTTATAGTTGTATGTACATATACATAATTAGTAAAACTCGGTAACGGTATTCTATGAGCAAATATGTTTATGTAGAGATTTATAGATTATAATCTATTTATTTTGCACTGGCAAAATAGACCTTAAATTTTTGATTTAATTAGTCAGAAACTAATAATATTTAAATTAAATGGCTGTCAATTTTAATATAGTTGGTTATTGTATAAATTAATTTAAAAAAATACTGACACTACAATTAGAGATAGGTGGTACCTAAAAAAAAACAAAGCACTTGTCAAACTAAGCACTTCAAAGTTCTTGCCGCAGTAAAAAGAGAATTTCATTATTCTTGATAATTATTATCAATTTTTTGCTCTAACATCTACAGTAAAAAAAATGTAGTTACAAAATTAAATTCAATAGAGCTAAATGGAATGTTTTAATTGACAGGTTAATTGTTGTGTATGTGTACTATGTGCTATTAAGGTTATAGAGAAAACATTGAATTTTTATACCTTACAATAAAATGTTAAACCTACCATTCGCAAATATTTCAAAGTCCTATACAAACTATAAATAGTTAAGTTAGACACAGATATTTTATTATGCAACACTTACATATGTAGCGCAGTGTTAGGTAGGCAAACTTTTAGCTGAAGGACACTGTAGTCTGCGACAGAAGTCACATGCAACCATACATACATTTCCATACAATAAGTATTGGCAACCAATCAATGTCAATGTCACCTCACAATATCTTTGGCCGCCATGACGCTTGTTCGAAATTTGAATGCGGCCCGAGATGCGCGGGCGCCGATGATCCGTCGATAAGCAGTGTATGTGCGCACACGTTTCCGCCGGAGGTACATAAGTAGATATCCTGTAAAATAATTTATTGTAGGCCATAAACTCGGAAAATATGGAAAACTTCCAGGATGATTTTCACGGGTTATTGTCACCTTGCCACAAAGTCAAATCGTCACAATTCTTAGTTTTATTATGACATTGAAAGTTTTAGCATAAATGTAAATTTGTCTTAAGAAATATAAAATGAGGAGCTTATACATAACTTTCACTGTGACGAGCTGACTGTGGTTTGCCACAATACATTTTGCGACAATTTTTTTTAATAAATGAATTTGACTATAGCCATAATTAATACATAAGCGGATACGAGTTTTGCTTGATTAATTGTTAAGTGTGATTAATTGAAAAAGGCATTTATTGATGCAGTTTGTGTTGTGTGTGGCCGTAGCTCAGCTAGAGAGAACTTAGTAAGAAAAAAATCATGAAGCGGGCACAAAAATACTCTATTTTCTTTAATATCAAATATTCAGAAAATAAATCTTTATCTACAATCTGTGCTCTAATATAATTCACACTAAATTAATTTTGACAGACCACACTACCAAACATGAACTCATTGACTCATTCAGTATCTTAAAAAGTAATAAACACAGCTGCAAATGACTAATAAATATTAAACGTACCGATAAACACCAATCAAAATCGGATTAAGGGTTTTTCTCAGTGAAAAATAAATCAAGTATCAATAAATTATTCAATCCATGGTTCACTTTAAGGGGCATCGATCAAACACGCTCGGAAATAAACTAAAATGAGTCTGTACTCCCATCACAGATTAACTTTTATCTGTAGAGTTTACGAAGGTTTTTGTTTTGTGCCTCCGAGATCAGAGGTTCGTGTAATCCCTTTGTTGTTAGCTTGTTTTAATAGAGGTTCTTCGGATTTGTAACCGACCCCAGAACTGTGTATTTTAAAGTAAGCATGTATTTTATGCACTTAATTTAATTTGACATGATAATTATTATGTAGAGTCATTCTAAAATGTATGATTGTCATTTTATCAAAACCATGAAAAGATGTGAAAAAATGTATAACATTTAGAATAATATGTAGAGTTATATTATTCTAAAATATAAACCTCATGCTTACAAAAACAAGAAAAAAAAACTGTAAGCTCTGTTAAACAAAAAAAAAAAAAGGATGAACAATGCTTTTCAAAACTGATCGTTGCATCACGAAAATGCACGAACGTTTTATCTCGAATCACAAAAGCATCACCTGAAAATAAAAACGTTCAAAAACCGCCCATAACGGCCGTTGCCCCTAAAAATTCTAAAATCGCTTTCCAAATTTTTCTCGTGGTTTAATAAATACATCCCTGGGGTCAATCAATTTGGTATCGCCTACTCCGATTAAAGGCCAGATAGTGTTGGACACGGGTTTTTGGGCCCTCCTCAGGCCGGGAGGTCTTTGAGGGAATCAATTATCTTAATTGGGAGTTGGCCTAATCTTAATAAGCAAGCCTGCTGGACTCAACGTATCTTTAACAAGACGATGAGTGTTACATTAATTTGTTTATCTTTTGGAACTAGTGAGGTTTAGTTTCAAGGTTGTGGTTAGATGGACTGAAAAAAAAATTGGTAGAGCCTGTTGATTGTATTGGATATTGCTACGACTATACTATGAATTTTCTTCATACATTATTTGAATTCAATATGAGTACTTTTTTTAAACAGCGTTCATTAATTTTTAAAATGATTATAGAAATTAATTTAAATATCTCGCATTATTATTTTTTCATTTGAATATGTTTTGAATATGTGTCAAATACGACTTAAAATAGATTTTTAACTAGGTAAGTATTATTAGTACAAGGTTATGAATACGTATAAATAGATTTCGTTTTGTATAACAACTAAAATAGTTTCTATAAATTTTAATTTATTTCCATATTCTCGTCAAGAAAATAATTCTTGAAGATATGAATACACACCATAACTCGCAATGACAAACCATCGGGTGTACAATGTAAATATTTGCCGAGCCGTCAGGTTCTCCCACAACGCAAATCAAGTGGCAGGTGCAAATAAATCGGAGAAAATCGCTTCAAAACAGGAATGGCGTCCATAAAATACTAAATAACTCATAATCCAGTGGGTGTAAGATCACAATGTTTATCATTGGTGCCGGGCATAGGCAATCACTGGTGATTTATAGCGTGGATACGCTACTGTGTGTTGATCACACGATCGTGATTCAAATCCTGATAGTATACGCATTATCGTGCGCCCGCGCATCCATCACCCGCCGGTATCATGGATCAATTGTGGACCTGTTTCTGAGCGCGCCACAAATAAAGTTATGCGAGCTACGTCGATCTTTAATGAATATCTCTAATGAAAATTTCCTCCCGATAAATACTTCGGTGCTTAAATAGATATTATTTTACATGCAGTCTTTGCCAGCGTTCATCTAAGTTGGTCGTTTTGTTTTAATTAAATACATTATCGAATAGTGTTGTGCGGAGGGGACAATATGTAGAGCAACTGTTACTATCTGGTTACTATATTGTAGGATTTAATAGATATAGATCTAATAGAAAGAAAAACATAATCAATTATTATTTTTATCGATAATTTGGAATCAAGTCTGAAATTAAATAAAGCGAAGGCTACACTAGCTTGGGCATTAAATATTAAATCTGTATGTACCATAAAGCATTGATACATATGTAGTGAAGAATCAATATAAGTTTTAAGCGATGTGCTACCGTGTGAACCCTAAATTAAATACAGATAACATCGAAAGCCGTGAAATAGCGAAATCACGGATTATTTTACTTCTTTGTGGAGCCCGTATCACTCGTTATCATCAAGATATTACGAGGAAATCAGCGTAATTTGTGATAAGCCGTGTGATTCCTTTTTTATTTTATCAAAAAAATCCTTTTCAGTCGATTTTCAGATAGCGGCGTCGTCGGTTGTGATATATCAAAGTTTCTTTAAATTCATCAATTTGTCATCATTCGAGATTTCATCTTATCAACGTTTTATTGGTGAGACTTCACTTGACGTTATATTATCTCAAGAAGCACGTCTATGATCTGGATTCTAGGAGATTCTGATTTTGACTTGATATTCTAATTACAAATGTTACGTAATCAAATTGTCATAATTTGTCATAATTAATTACAATTATGTTGAAATTAATTATCATAATTTACAAATGTTGTGTATCGGGTTCAAAATATTGTAATAAATAAAAGATTTATTACCTGCCCTTGTATAGATAGAAAACTAATTTCATTTGTTAAAGTCATTAAATACTATTTTCAGATAGGTATCGCGTGTATCATGAAATATGAAACCATAACTAAAACCATTTATGTCAATGGTAGTAGGTATCTTCAATATCTATTTAATTTTCTAGAGCTTTCATTATTAATTACATCTTGAATTTAAACCTTTTTAAACAAAATTAAAAAAAAATATATTTGCTGATTTCTGTCCTATTTTTTTAATGATTATTTGTCTGTATATCAAAATTGTTTGTTTCCCTAACAATAAATAAAAATAAAATGAAAAACTATAATTGATATCTACTAAGTTGTGATAGGTACCTATTTAGAATTCAAATAAATGATCTTGAGCTGAAATTACAATAAAAACTATTAATGAGATGTGATAAAATTATCTCATCTTTTGAGTGTTGTTGCGTTTAAATTCTCTAGTGACTAATATTGTAAACTGTTTTAACCGAGGGCTTATTTAATTTGCTTTCTATTTAATGTCTAATGGTTCGAAGGCAATAAATACATTTTTTATTTTATTTTTTATTTTTATTTTTTATTTTTATTTACACTACTCCTAATTATGTAAATACCTAGCAAATTTAAAATCACATGTTACGTAATAACCCTATTTATAAATATAAATTGTACAGACATTTACAAAAATACAATTTAATATTTTCTTAAAATTTAAAAAAAAATTTAATAATGTTAATATTTCTAAAAGTAACATACTTTGATACAAATAAAAAACATCTACACGTCAATTAAACACATAACTTGAACCGTTTTTATGTGCATGTAAAGTTTAGTTAGTTCAAAAAGGGCACGATTTTACTTATTATTGGAATGATTTATATAAGGTTTTTAAATTTAAAAATACCAACCGGTAAAAATATTTGTTACTCTACATAATCAAATGAAGACTATTAGTTTGAAATATCCCTGATATACCTAGATTTTATTTTGTTTTATGACATTTTTAATTAGGTACTTTGCCTAAGTTGTTCAGTAATTGTTTTTGTTCTTACTGTGTTGTTGTTATTTATGTTACAGTCAAAACTGCGTTAGGGCGTTAGTCAAAATCACTTTTGAGTGCAAAAAATCAGTCAAAAGCGGTTTCGCCTGATTTTTAACAAACAGTCAAAATTCATACAGTGTTATGATTAGTGAAAATTACTTGGAAATCATAAAAATGTGTTATAGAACCACTATAAAATGTACCATTTTTGTGATTTGTGCATACAAAATGATCACACCTACTTTAGGTACTACTTTTAAGATATCTGGGTACACGTCAGGTAAAAGATAAGTAGATTATCAATTTGTTCGGTATAAATAAATAAAATCTTTGCACTTAAAAGTGGTTTTGATTAATGCGCTTGGTCAAAACCACTTTTAACCGGAAAAATCAGTCAAAACCACTTTAGACTGATTTTTCCAGTCAAAAGCGGTTTTGACCGATTATGAGTTTTGACTGTAACATTTATATGTATTATTGTTTCAATAAAGTTTTTTCTAAGTTGCCCTTTACAAAAATGAATTGAAAAGTTAGAATTTAGCCTAAATTGTTTTACATAAAATTAAATATTAATATTACAAGTATGTAACGTTTAATGTGGGTATTAAAATTGTCTCACATACATTTCAAATCGTCGTTAAAAGTCTAGCTGCTGTTTTACCAGGAATGTTAAAAGGTAAAACAGTTATTAAATAATGTCATGTGTGTCTGTCCTCAAAATAGCAAACTAAAAAACTAGGTGTAAATGTGGTAAATCACCTTAAATTATGTTATGACTGTCGAATATACAGTAGCAAACAGAAAAAACATGAATTCAAGGCAATTTGTGTAGAGTCATAGCAGCCAGTATGTCTATTACGGTATATTTGGTGGTTTAGTAGCAATAAAAATCACGACTCCGTTGGCTAACATCGCTTAATGCGCGCTTATCGCTTATCGCGGCGGTATCGAGTGTAGTTCGCGCCGTATCACCTAATCAAATTGGGAGCGTATCGATATCTTCGACGTCTTTCGATAGCGCACCACTATTATCTTAATTGATTGTCTTATTCGCCGGTTGTTTTTTTTTTTGATGTAGCGCGGACTTATCTGTTTTCAGATACGTGCAATATGAGCCGGTCAAGGTTAGAGTGCGGCCGCCGATAGTGGACTGGACTGAGATGCGGATAGGTGGAGACGGTGGGACTCATAGTGGTTGTGTATAAGAGCGATGCATGGTGTGTGAGGTGGGTTCAGCGGTCATGGACATGAGCGGCGAGGGTGGCGGGGCGGGGGGCGGGAGCGCGCTGCAGCAGCGCTGGTACGACAGCCGGGTCAACGGCAGCCCGGCGGCTGGTGACGTCAACGAGGCCAACGGCGACTTCTTCCACTCGCCGCTGGAGGGCGGCCACCACAGCCGCGCGCGCTACTACCACCAGCAGATGCACGCCCCCTACTCGGCTGCGGTCAGCTCGCATGGTGAGTCACTCTTTCTCTTCATTCTTCTTTCCTAACACTATCAACATCATCATCATCATCAACAACAGCCCTTTACAGTCCACTGCTGGACTATGAGCCTCCTCCACTATAGTGGAGGGTTTTGCCATAATCTCCACGCTTGGCAGGCGGGTTTGACCTAACACTATAATCCAGGCCTTTTCGAGGCGAGAGTGAATAGGCACTTACAGGGCAGATATGTACCATCCTAGACTGCATTTTACTTAACATTAGGTACGATTGCAGCCAAATACCTGCCTTGTGCTGCATAAAAAAATTGTTCACACTCATTCTCACTTCTTCTTCTATTAGGTATGTAAATGGCCATGGAGTTGCTTTGCTTAGGTGTTTTTAGTCTGATACTGACTGTGACTTCTGTTGTTACAACCCATGTGGTAGATGGAAGGAAGATATGCCTATACCTTATTATGGTGGCTCTAGTGTCTGACACCAGGGCAGTGACTTCTCTTGTCCCATAACCTATGGATAAAAGAAAAAAAAATTATTCTTAATGAGCCGCTGTAGGCGTCTCCATGCTCGTTCACACACTAACGGAGTTTTCTGCAAAGTTCGCTCTATCACGCTCCATCAAAGGAGTTCAATCATTCGGATATTTTCACCTCTTTCAGTCTAAATAAGCTGCTGATAGAGCTAAAAACATAGAATATTATAATAGTACTGGATAAGGATTAGAAGGTAGCCCTGTAGCTTTCCGCCCAGAGCTTCCCGCCAAGTTCCGCGTGATTCTACATGACCTGATATGACGTCGATTCGTGATAGCATGATAACTTACATAATTGATAAAAGTTAACTGTATCAGTATTTGATTGCATTTATTTTTTTAGGTCATTTCCTTTTACTTGATAAAAACTGTACCTACATCCTAACCATAACCTAGGCATCTAATAATTAAAATAAATTGTCTGCGGTAGCTGTTAGCGTGGTATGATGGTATTAACTTAGGTGCGACGCTCATAATGTCTTGTTTGATTATCTCAAAAGGCCATCCCATCCTAACCTAAGTAAATTGAATGGAACAGAAGCTTCTGTCATCGATAATTCGTTGGTTTCGAAGCTTAGCTAGCATATGTTTAAAGTGACAAGAGTTTGTTTCTCACGAATTAGATTTTCAGATAATCATATGCCATAAAAATAAATTCACTTAAAAAGATTTGGTTGAAATCTTCAAAGATAATCTCTATTATTACCTAATTTACAATGTCGAACTCTATAACTTCAAATATAGTCGTAAACCTGTAGCTATGTAACCTAGCCAAGATTAAGTATGTAAAATCGGTGTGGAGCCGGTCAGGTGGACTGTCAGCCGAAGCAAATTGCCGGCAGCCGGCGGGAGCGACGTTATCGCGCATCGGGCGATATCTCTCCCAAACTCCACAATTAATTCAACCCACCCGACCACTCAAAATCGCCATTCTGTAAGGTGACAGGTTAGGTAAACACCATCTAAAATGGGCTTCGGCCGTAAAAGAAAAAAATAATTCCATCTTTTTGTTTTTTCCTTTGAGGTTTAAATTTTATGGCGGCAATAAAGTTTTTCGTGGAGACAGGTGGCTCTTCTTTATATTTTAACTACTCGGCCGGTGCGCACAAATGTTCATCTAGAGAGAGGTGCTTAGGGGCTAGATTGGCATGTGGGCGCGCCGGGGACGATTAGAATTTATTTGGAGGTGCCTCGGTAGTGATGTGACACTTAAGAAACTGTGTCACTTCTCGGAATCGGAACTGGGAATTGATTTCGTCGGGTTCACAGCAGTTACGTATGTAGTTTATGTGCGTGCCGCGCGGCGGGCTCGGGCTTGGCTCGTAAGCTCTGTTATCGTGTAGTCGGCTCAGCGTAGCTTCTTGTCGTTCTGATTATATCGGGATCTGGTAAACTCATCGGCCGCCACACGGAGGCCTCTCGATTAGGTTACTTACACATAAAATTATGTGATACACCGATCCGTGTGGACTGATAACTGTGTAAAAATATGAATTGGCTTTCAACTCGTTTGGTACGACTTTGTTATTACACGGTCGCCCAACTGTTTATGAAAACATAAAGTTTTAGTGCGGTCTATCTGGGTTCGTGAATGTTTTTTCTTTGTTTTACCGCGGATTTTGCGGTGTCAAGGAGTTGTAAAAAGTATTTTAAACGTTGGTACTTGGAAATAAAGTGGGTACGATGACGGGGCGGATCGTTTTCGCGTCGGTCGTTTTACGAGCGTCCGCGGCATCTGCCTGAAGTGCGTTACCTGCCTAGTTTATTAAATATAATGCAAAACGTGTCTTACATACAACACTGTTATCCTCTGATAATTAGACGTTTATTTTGGAATATAAAAAAATAATGATCTCTTTTGAAGTTTGCTGAACGTTAAGTTTATTTGCATTTAAAGGATGCTGACTTGGTCATGTGCGCTCAGTGCGGTCACAAAAAGGCTTTACATATAAAATAACATTTAGGAATTATAACTAAGTTTTGGTATACAAAATACAGGCATTCTTGGAATAAGGGTTTAGGGGCTTAGCCATAAACCTTGTTAGCTTTAAAATGACAGCTAGGTTGCCATGGCGACGGCCGTGTAATTTGATAGGGTCGCATTTGAGTCTTCTCCTTATTTACGACCTTGTGATGCGATTGATGACGTGGCCTCCATTATTTATGTCCACCCGATCGGACCTTACTGACTTTTATATTTAACTTCTGTAATATTACACCTATAGTCCATCGGAATACTTTACATTTGAATTTTATTATTGGTCATGCAGGTGTATTGGTTTTATTCATCCATCCACCGATATCAATGACGTCAGATGTAGGCAAATCACATTAGGGCTGAGTTGCACCATCTTACTCTCTTTGACAAACGTCAAAAATCTGTCAATCTCCATACAAAAAGTATCAGTTATTGTTATTGTCACAGTTAAATTATGGTGATGCAACTCAGCCTAAAACTTCGTCATCATCATCATCATTTCAGCCATAGGACGTCCATTGCTGAACATAGGCCTCCTTGGTAGCGTGCGTAACCGCTTGGTAGCGGCCTGCGTCCAGCGCTTCCCTGCTACCTTTACGATGTCGTCGGTCCACCTTGTAGGTTAGGTGGACGTCCCACGCTGCGTTCACGAAATCCGAAAGGAAATCCGTAAACGAACTAAAGTCGCTGACATAGCCCGACGAATTAGCAAGCTTAAGTGGCAATGGGCAGGGCACATAGTACGCAGAACTGACGGAATCTGGAATGGAGGTTCTGGAATGGAGGCCGCGTACCGGAAAACGCAGCCTAAAACTTATCTCATTAAAATTTGTCCTAAGCGGGACTCGAACCCGCGACCACTGGTGTTATAGTCCGCTAAGCACACCACTAGACCATGCAACCATTAAAATTAAATGGAGTTGTCATTTAATTATCTCGGATGGAAGTTATTTACCTTTTCATTAAGTATTGTTTAAACTTTGCTACAAAAATCTTGTAAGTAGGAACATAAACCATAATTGAATAATATTATTAGTATTTAATTCAAATCGCAGAATTGTTGAAGATAAAATGAATATGCATTTATGGAAATGGACTTATTGATTCAATATTGGTAATAAATTGAACTCTACAATATTAATTTACAATGCCTACGATATGATAATAAATATACGTTATGGAAGTGACAATTGTTCAATAAATGAACTTTTTATTCATATTTCCATCATTGTTATGGTAATTATAGTGCTTTAAGTTAGTAGAAGTAGTTTATAGACTACTAAAATAATATAGGCTTGTTATAACAAGCTAGAGCAAACGTATAAAAATAATATAAATCATGAATGCAAAATACAAAATAAATAACGTAGAGTGATAAATGTTTTAATTTACGAATAACAATCCAGCTCAATTGTTTTTAGTCGATAGTTAATTAATTACTAGACAAAACAAAAACTAAGCGTTTACTATAAGCAGCCAGACAATAATTGAAAAGGTAGAGTTCTAATAAACTATTAGACTGTTGTTTTAATATATATGTACAGTCCGCCGTAATATTAGACCATACATTTATGTTGCAAAAATAAATAAAAAAATTAAAATGCTGCAGTGTTTAGCTTGATGTACCGTCGTTTGTACTCTGTACTATGAGGGCAAAAATCATCAATTTTTACAACTTATGTATTTTTTTTAATAATGAGAACGGATACTTTTTAAATGACATTCAATTTAAATCAAATAAAAAATGCAACGTAGTTAGCTGTTTCATCCTTAATGATAATTATCATAACCTTGATTATAATCTATTGGTTCTTCAGAATGTTTCTCTCATATCGTGTAGCTTTGCGACTCTACCACGCTCCGCCGAGCGCAAGGCGGCGATCGCAACAAAACAAACGCATTATTCAATACAGCCACGTCCTGTATCGGCTGCTCATCGCCCATTTCACACCTATTGAGCAATGACACACGTGGGCCATTCCTATCACCTCGCCACACCTCAACAACAAACCATAACACCTTGCAATAAAACACAAAATCACGCAACAAACCAAAAGCAATAGGCGTGATCGTTATACGTTACTTTAAATTATTGGAAGTGTACTTATGCAATTTTAAGTACAGATCTATTGAACGGCAAATGTATTATAGATGTCTGTTTTTTGCGGCCGCCTGCGGATCGCACGGTTGAATTTTTGTCTAGATACTTATCTAATTGTTTGAGTGGCTTCTACTAACGTTCCATTGGCGGTGGATTCCAATTTGATTTGTGGGTTTAGCTAAAGACATACTTATTGCTTTGTTTCGCAAGCGAATATTGTTAGTATGCCAAAGGTTTATTAACGTACCAAGCATGTAACATTGAAGTACAAAAACAAGAAAAGTTAAATTTAATTTAGCAATCTCAGTGTCGAAATTTTATAAATTCGATGGTCACATTATACTTACCAAAATATGAGGCTCACTATACCATATGAATGGGTTAGGCATAAGGTATATCTA